GCCAGTCCTTCCATCATCCAGCATTTCAAGATTTTCTTTATTCTTTTTAGCCTAAGACCTTCTCCCACTTTTGGCATTTTTCCCCCACACATAAGACTGTGTTTTGAGGGCTAGGATTATGTCTAGACTATGTCTCATACTTCTTTGTATTCTCTAGAATGCCTAAAGAGCACAAGAGCTTCAGCATATATCTAAAGTCATTGGGTTTTCCCATGTTTTTCTACATTAAGAAATATCGACTCCTTTTTTTTTTTTTTGTAGATGTCTCAACTATCTAAAATAATCTATTTTTTAAAGAGACAGAGAAGTTTGTTTATCTTGAGATAATAACTCTAACTTCATTCACTTGCCCCCAAGTTCATCATTACATACTCTGCTAAGTGGCTGACCTCATCTTACATTCAAGAGTCTGCAGCCCAACTGCCTCCCTCACCATCTCTCCTCCATTAGGAAAGCTGGCCTGAGATAATGGGGACAAGGCTGGGAGAGCTGCTGCTACACCTAGACCTGACTTTCACTGCACTTAACCTAAATATAAATAACTAGGCTTTGAATCTGAAATAGTGGCATAAAGAAAACTAAAGAGGATGGGACTGTGTTTGTAGTGCTTGCACATGTGAGGCACTGAGTTCAAGCCTTAACACCGCATAAAAATAAATAAAATAAAATGTGTGTCCATCTACAACTAAAAATATTTTTTTAAAAAAAGAAAGAAAAGAAAATTAAGGAGGGCTGGAGTGGTAACTCAGTGGTAGAGCACTTGCCTAGCATGTGTGAGGCGCTGGGTTCGATCTTTAGCCCCACATCAAAATAAATAAAGGTATTGTGTCCATCTACAACTAAAAAGTATATATATAAAAAATAATAAAATTCTTGGTTCAGTTATCAATATAAGTTTGACTTTAACTGTATTTTGATAGATCCAGACTATTTGCTATTATAATACAGAAGCAAGCACAACCCTGCCTGAAGTCACTCTGCCCTGTTTTGCAATGTCAGTGAGGTTTTCCTCATCCCCCTAACTACTCTGTTATCTAGATCACTGCTCTTGCTTACTCGGTCAATATTCGATGGAATATTCATATTCAAAAGAACAGCCAAGGTCTAGGGTTGTGGCTTAGTAGTAGACTAGCATGTGTGAGGCCCTGGGTTCTATTCTCAGCACCACGTATAAATAAAAAAATAAAGGTCCATCCACAACTAATAAAAATACTAAAAAAAAAAAAAAAAAAAAAGCTTAACTTTTCCTCCACATTGTTCCAAATTAAATGAAGCACTAGCCATCTCATAGCTTATTTTCACAAGAGGCTATTATAGAATTGCTGGCTTAAAATGTTCTATCTATAAACTCTTGAAATGGCAAAGTAGTATGGCAAAAGTTTATCTACTTGACGGTACATTATTATTTCTTTTAATTTTCTGTCTTCTTTTGTTTTATTTAAAGGCTGCAAAGAAATTTGTTTCTGGCCAGAAGTCAATGGCAGCAAGTGGAAATTTGGGGCATACCCCTTTTGTTGACGAGTTGAAACACTGAAGCACAAACTGCAAGGGAGAGCACAGAACATTTTCTCATCCCAGAGCAGCAGACACATGAAAGTCAAAAGTCTATAATTTATCTTGTTTTTCTCAACTAAGTAAAATATCATAAAACATAAATGCAAGTAATTAATGGAGTCAATAAAACATTCTGCTTAAATGTTTTTCTTGCATTTTTCCTGTTTAATCAATAAGTATTTATTATATACTGAGATCTTTGGTTTTTGTTTTTTTTTTTTTTGACATGTTTGTTTTAGATGTCTGAAAGGAGGCAGGAATGTAATAATTTGGTACTTCAATTAAGAAGCATTGGACACTATTAAAATTAAGGCTAAGCAACTACCAGGGTAAAATTTCCAGATTATTATTGATGACTTTTTAAGATGAAAACAAATTAAAAATCTGTCATTTTGAATAACAACATTTAAGTGATCTGAGTTTACCCTCTTTGCCTTTTTTTACAGTGAAATCATTTCTGAAAAACAAATTCCCTATGAATCATATGCCGTGTAACTGTTACTTTATATTTCTGATTTATTTTCACTGTGGCAGTTTTTATTTTTCTCTTCTATTTCTCATCTGTTCCAATCCTGTCTCTTTGAAATAGTTAACTATCAGGCCAACACTAAAAATAAAGTAGGGCTGAAGGGTTGCTAATATGAATAACTACTCAAAGAATCTAATCTAAATATCAAAAGAAAATATGGTATTTACCTTAAAAAGAAGTTCTCTACCATGTTTATATATTCTGATGATGRTTTCTTCTACCATATTTTCTAAAAGATGGGAAATTCTCAGAAAGGAGGGTCTTCATGACCTGAATTGCTATTTTGAGAACAAGATCTGTGAAACCCCAGGAAGTCTCACTTTCTCACTGAAGAAGGTCTCTAAAGGCTTTTCCACAGTCATGAAAAAGAATTGAAAAGTCTGCACATAATTCCTGTAAGAATTCCTGCAAACTTGGCAAGGCACAAAAAAATTGGTGTTTTTAAAAAATGTYCATACAACCCCACATTTGTAAACTATTGCCTAACCTTTGATGCCAGTTGACTTTTGCCCTTCTCAACTTGGGCACAGTCCTCCAGCCAAAATGCATCTGAGGTGGAGGAGACGGAGGAAGAGGAGCTTTTGTTTTCGTTCTTCACCATGGTCCAGTATGGAGATGGGGCTCTCACTTCTTTCTTATGATCTCGATGAATTATCACATCACAGTTGATGTTTTTTCCGACACTAATAGTTTGGTTCTCCTTTTCATACCCATGCCATTCTCTGGAAATAGATACTGGTCTTCTTGCAGGGTGAGGCCCAAGTGACTGTGAATATCTGTAAAATTTAAGTTTTTTATCTAAAACTACATCTTCGTTGTCMTCAGGGCTTGAGAAAAATTCATCTTTTGCCTTCCCAGTTTTCTTTGGTGAACTGAAATAAAAAGAATAGTGAATAAAATKAATGTCTGAACATTTATAGTTCCCTAAAGAGATGTCTTATAGCCTGCTTTGTCTCATTAAAGTACCGTTAAATTTTTTTCCTATAAATATTGCCTTAAATTATTTTACACTACTTTAAAAAGCTTTGCATAGACTTAAACCAGACTTAAACTATGCAAGACCATAATATTAGGAGGCCCTAAAGGATAGGTTAATTTCACTTGTACCTACAAGTTCAACCTGGCCATCACCTCCTGAGAATCCTGTTCTCATGGGTCGTATGAYAATAACAGGAAAGTTCACTGATTGTGCTCTATATGTGTAATAAGAATTGTAATACATTCTACTGTTGTGTATTTTTTAAAAATCAAAAAAGAAAAAAAAAAAGATCACTGATTTCCAGGGGGATCAGGAAATAAATAGTGGACCTCAAGGGTCTTCAGTAAGCAAGTCAGTACTCTTTTAATCATCTTTTTTTCCTGACGTTGCCACCCAGAGCATCATTCTGTCCCTCTCATTGGGGTTTACATACATAGATTTTGTTTTGTTTTGCTTTGTTTGGGTGCTGAGGATTGAACCCAGAGGCAATGACCACTGACCCACATCCCCAGCCATTTTTTACTTTTTATTTTGAGAYAGAATCTAACCAAGCTACTTAGGATCTCACTAAGTTGCTGAGGCTGACCTGGCACTTGTGATCCTTCTGCCTCAGTCTCCCCAGGAGCTGAGATTACAGGTATGCACCACCACACCTGRCTCAGACATGGATTTGTAAAGCACCTTCTACTCACATGGCCATTATCATTCTCTATTCTTCCTCTCTATTGTCATCCAAAAGCTTCAAAGGTTTTTTTTTTTTTTTGCGGGGGGGTGTTTAATTTTGTTTTTTGGCTTGATTGTTGAAATTTAGGTGGTGTTTGCCTGCTAGGAACTAAGCTCTGGACTTTTCTAATACTTGCGCTTGCTAATCTTTGCAGAACAAATACCATCCATCACCTGCTCTCTCTCATCCTGGTGCTATTGCCTGCCAAGTCTACAACTAGATCTTTGTGATTCTAACCCTTTGACACATTCTGTTCTGCTAATACAAAACACGTCTCTTCCCCACCCTCTCTGCCAATCCATCAGACTTCTTAGTGTTATCATTAATATCCTTGCCAGTCTGCCTGGTTTTTGTTTTGAAGTTTCTCTCTTCTAATATTAAGTCATTTTTACTGAAAGCATCTAGTCTTAAATGGTGTGATTTCCTTATCCTTAGCTTAGGGTCATACAAGAAGATCTAGGACTGGAACCATTTGAAAAGAAAAGGAAAAAATCCAAGTTACTTTTTTTCGATTGCAAGAGGTATTCTTGGTAATTCTGTATTAGGCAATTATAAAGGACAGGTGGTAGGGCTAGGTACTTTAATTAAACTAGCATTATCGCAATAGATAATAAAAACACAGCCAGCAGAGGTCAGTGTGGGCTGGATATAGATTTTATGCCACTAGACTACCCAGAACACAATATGGAATATTCTCTCTATTGTGCACGCAGTGCCATCTGCTCCTAGAAAGGGTCATACCATAAAAGCCCTTTCCTTTCCCCATCTTCCCCTTTGCTAACCCCTTCCACATAAGTTAACTAAAATACCTTACAGAAGTACTTTGCTTAGTTAAGAAAGAAAATGTGTCATCATTCCATAAGTTTGTGGGGTTCGGTTGTGCTAATCTCTGTTTATCTCCGCTTTTGAATGGTCAGTCTGCCATCATTAACTTTTAATATTCAGAACCTCAGAATATTTCCATGTAATGAACAAGCTTAGGACATGGCAGTTCTACAGGCAAATGGTTAAGGGCTCCGGCTTTAGAGCTGCACTCTCCAAAACAGGCTGCTGGCTACGTGTGGCTAAGTTTCAACTGAATATTTTGAATAAAAATTTAAATTCCCCAGGTACAGTCCCCATATTTAGGTGCTTAATAGTCACATGTGGCTAGCCTACGGACAACTCAGATGCAGAACATTCCACTACCACAGAAAGTTCTCACTTACATTGTAAAGTCCTTGCCGTGGCCAAAACACAGGAAGCAATGAGTAAGTGTACACTATTATTTTTTAAATTTGGCGGGGTTTGTGTGAGGGGTGTGCCAGGGATTGAACTCAGGGCACTTGGCCACTGAGCCACATGCCCAGCCCTTTATTTATTTATTTATCTATTTAGAGAAAAGGGTTTTACTAAGTTGCTTAGCACCTTGCTTTTGATGAAGCTGGCTTTGAACTCAAAATCCTATTTCAGCCTCTCAAACTGCTGGGATTACAGGTGTGTGCCATGGCGCTGGGCTCATTTTTAAATTTAAAAAAAAAAAAATTCAGTACTTGGATTGAACCCAGGAGGGCACTACACTATAAAGGCTATATCCCCAGCCTTTATTTTAATTTTTTATTTTGAGATAGGGTTTTGCTAAATTGCCTGGGCTGGCTTCAAACTTGTAATCCCCCTGCTTGTCTCCCTAGTTACTGAGATTACAGGTGCACACACTATTCCTGACTTAATTTTACTTATTTTAAATCAGATCAGGATTGGTTTGGTCATTAGGGAAAAAAATGATATTTTCCAGCCTGCCTGATCTGAAGAGGACAGCTGCTCCCCATCTCAAACCCAGTGTCACCACGTGGGAGTGCTTTAAAAAATACACAGAAAGTGTGAAAAAACAATTTAATGAAAACTATTATAAGCAGACACCTTGGTGGCTGCTGCCAGGTCAAGGAATGGAGTGTTACTGGTCCCTTGTAAAGCCTCCATGTATCTTCCTTGCTCTCTACAGGTCTGGGTTTTTTAAGTGCTGTGAGAAATGACCAAAGCATATCTGGGTACCACTTCAGATCCTTGACCGAAAGTTTGAGTCTCTGAAATAAAGTTGATGTAATATGGGCCATTTTCTAGGCTTTGTAAAAATCCTGGCCATATCCTTTGAGTCTATCCCTATAAGCGAAAGTATAGGGCTGGGGCTGGGGATCAGTGGCAGAGTGCTTGCCTAGCATGTGTGAGGCCCTGGGCTCCATCTCCAATACTAGGGGGCGGGGGAAAGGGGGAGTTTACACAGTGACAGTATCTAGTGTAGAAATCCTGACAAAACTGAAGATCACTCTTGCATCAGAGAATTGAATTCAACACAAAATAATCTCATTCTACACCTTGTGTTCCACAGAATGCTCCCTCATATATCTGATCCTCACAAGAGTCCCTGTTACAGATAAAGAAACAAGCTCTCAATCCCAGCTACTTGAGATCCTGAGGCAGGAGGATTGCAGGAGGATCCCAAATTTGAGGCCAGCCTGGGCAAGGAAGGAAAGAAGGAGACAAGCTGTCGTATTATTTAGGTAATTTGAGATTCCTAGCTGGATTTCGTTTTTCACTTTCAATAAATGAAGCCTCCACCACATTAAAGTCCCATAATAGATTTAGCAGAACAAGACACATGGCATTTGCATTTTCCCAGGGAAGCATAGCAAACAACTGATTGTTCAGATGATTGAATTAAAAGTGGGATAAATATGGAGGAGATATATAGGGTGCTATGAGAGCATATGACAGGTGGTCCCAACTGTGTTAATGCCTCTTAGAGAAAGCTTGCACAGTGAGCTTTCAGTGATGCTTACTGAAGAGCAGCACTCTACTGAGCACATTGTAGATGGAAGAACACAAGGCAGAAAACTGAAATCTAAAGTAGGCTAGATAAAGGGGGAAAAGAGTAT